CTTCGTATCTTGTGGTCGACCTCATAGTTTTCTTCATCCAACATCAATACCTAAAACCTCTTTTCCTTGCCTCCCACCATTATTGAAGCTGTAAAGATCAGAATTCAACATTTTTTAAATATCCTTGCACCTAGATGTGGTCATGTGAGATCTTAAAAAACGAGACACCAGGGATGTCTTCGAAGCTTTTGCTTTTCTGATTTAAAGAAATAAATGAATAGATCTGCTTGGAAGTAACCCCCACCAAGATGTCCCCCCACCAAGATATCCTCCCACCTTCCTCCCTTTCTGGCTTAACATGAATATGATATTTGGAACTACAGTGATCATTTTTTTATTGGTTGTTCAAAACATTACAAAGCTCTTGACATATCATATTTCATACATTAGATTCAAGTGGGTTATGAACTCCCATTTTTACCCCAAATACAGATTGCAGAATCACATGGGTTACACATCCACATTTTTACATAATGCCATATTAGTAACTGTTGTATTCTGCTACCTTTCCTATCCCCTACTATCCCCCCTCCCCTCCCCTCCCATCTTCTCTTTCTACCCCATCTTCTTAATACCAGAGGACTATGATTTATTCTTACTCAAATAATATTTCATATTCACTCTTTCCCCATGGTTTAAATGTAGTATATCAAATATAATGTGTTTAGAGGGTAAAGTTCTAAGTTAGATATCCTTATTCTACCATTTATTTGCTCTATAATTTTGAGTGTGACCAAAATTTTTTGGTCTCCTGATTTTCACATCTATAAAAGTAGACATTTAAAAGTATTCTATCTTGCATAATATTATACAAATTTGAGATAAATCATAAAAAGCCTAGCATATTATTAATGTTCAACACATGGCAATTATTGCTACTAATCAAACACTCTCTGCATCTCTTTGTCGCATAGACTTATCAAACAGCTAATGCCACGTGACCTTTCACACCATGTCAATGATCAAAGCACCCTCATTGTGCACAGTGTATGGCGTTGCCATAATGGCCTCTTCCCAACTGTCTCTCAGTGCCATCATCTATCCCTCTTTAAAAAAAAAAGAATGAGCTTGAGTTTGAAGGGTTACTGCTCTATACATCTATTCATCTGTTCATAAATATAAATCTATTCATCTCATGGAATTCAGCTTCTTTATAATTAATATTTTGGGGAATTATTTGTGCTTAATTGAATTTTCAATTTTTAGACAATTATACATTCACAGATAGTTGAAAAAGAAGAATTATATGTTATTGTTGTTTGTGTTTTTAAAGAAATTAGTCCATTTCATGAGTATTGTCAAAATTCATGAACGTAGGATTGTTTTTAGGATTCCCCTATTGTGTATTTGATATATGTAAGGTCTGTAGTGATAGCTTATGTTTCATTTGTTAAATTTGTCATATGTACTTTTTTCTTTGACAGTCTTTTTTTGGGGGGTGGGGGTGGTGCTGGGGATTGAACCCATGGCCTTTTGCATGTGAGACAAGCACTCTACCAACTGAGCTATATCCTCAGCCCTTATTTGTCAGTCTTGCTAGATGTTTGTCAATTTTGTTGATCTTTTAAAAGAATCATTTCTTTGTTATATTGATTTTTCTCTATTGTTTTATTTCTTTCAGTTTCTGACTTTCATTCAGTGGTTTTGTTATTTAGATTTTTACTGGTGAATATTAATTATACTGAATAGTGGATTTCATTGTGGCATATTAATACATAAGTGTAACATAATTTGATTAATTTTAACTGCTCAGTACTTTTCCTTACTCTCTGCTCCTTCCACCTCTGGCCCTCTTCGTTTACCCTAATGGTTTCCCTTTTACTTTTATGAGACACACACTACTTTTTTTTTCTACCACTGGCTTCCACATATCAGAGAAAATATATGACACCGGGTCTGGCTATTTCACTTAACATGCTGTTCTCCAGTTCTACTCATTTTTCTGAAAATGACATAATTTTGTTCTTCTTTATGGCTGAATTAAACTCCATTGCATAAGCATATCACATTATATCTATGCATTCATCTGCTGACAGTCACCTGGATTTATTCCATTACTTGATATTATGCATTATGCTGTGACAAACATGGATATGTATGCTCCTGAAGTATTCTGGTTTTAATTCCTTTAGATAAATACAGAGGAATGGTATAAATGGATTATACAGTAATATCATTTTTCATATTTTCAGAGACATTCTGGTTTCCACAGTGGTTGTAATAATTTACATCCTTACGAACAGTGGATAGGTGTTCCTTTCTCCAGTCCATCATTACCAGCATTTACTGTTATTTTATTCTTGATGACTGTCATTCTGACTGAAATGAGATAGAATTTCAATTCATTTGTCCAACTATTGATTGTTATTTACTGTTTGATGTTGAGTTTGGTGGGTTCTTTACATATTCTGAATACTAATCCTTTATTGGGAAAGTATCCGGCAGACATTTTCTCCAATTCTATAGGCTGTCTTTTCCCACAGTTAATTGTCTCCTTTGCTTGAAGCTTTTTAAATTTGATGTCATCCCATTCATTAATTATTGGTATTAGTTCCATGTTTTAAGAGTCCTGTTGAGGAATGGTTTGCCTGTGCCTACAGGTTGGAATGCTAACCATGTTTTCTTCTACACGTTTCTAGATTTCTGGACCAATTCCTAGGTCTTTCATCCATTTTGAGTTGATTTTCCTGCAGATTGAAATAGAGATCTAGCCTCATTCTTCTATATACAGATATCCGTTATATAACATTTGTTGAAGACATTGTATTTTATCCAAAGTTTTTGGTCTTGGCACCTTTATCAAGAATCGAATTGCTGTATCTATGTGGTTTGTCTCTGAGTCTTTACTTCCCTTCCACTGGTGTACTTGTGTTTTTATGCCAGTCCCTGCTGCTTTTGTTACTATGGCCCCGTTTTTGAAATTGAGCATTGGGTTGTCCCCAGCATTGCTCCTTTTGTTCAGAATTGTTTCAGCTTCTCTGGGTCTTTGTTATTCCACATAAATTTTAGGATTGTTTTGTCTCTAGAATTGTTTGTGAAGAATGTCATTGGTATTTGGATGGGAATTGCATTGAATCTGTTGATTGCTTTTGTTATTATGGCCATTTTAACTATATATCCTTTGCCTATCCATGTACATGGAGATCTTTCCATCTCATAGTGTTTTCTTCCATTTCCTTCTTCAGTGTTCTGTAACTTTTCTTGTAGGAATCTTTTCCTCCTTTGTTGGATTTATACCTAACGCATTTCATTTTACTTTTTGAGGCTATTGTGAGTGTACATGCAAAAATCTTTAACAAAGTACTTGGAAATTGAATTCAGGGACACATTAAAAATATTATCCATCATAATCAAGTTGATTCCATTCCTGGATGCAAGTATAGTTCAACATTCACAATTCATTTGTCCAACTATTGATTGTTGGACATAAATAGAGTCAAGGACAAAAATCACATGATCATCTCAATAAATACAGAAAAAGTCTTTGACAGACTTCAACAATACTTCATGATAGAACCCCTCAAGATTGTAGGAATAGGAGGAACTGACTGCAACATAAAGGCTGTGTGTGGCAAACCAAAGCTAATATCATACTAAATGAGGAAAAACTGAAAGCATTTCCTCTAAACTCAGGAACAAGACAAGAATATCTACTCTCATGGTTTCTATTTAACATAGTGCTTGAAATTGTAGTGAGAAGAATTAGGCAAGATGAAGAAATAAAAGACATGCAAATATGAAAGGAAGAAGTTAAATCATCTCTATTGGTAGATGATATGATCTTGTACTTAGAAATCCCTATTGACTCCACCAGGAGACTTTCATATCTGATAAACAAATTCAGCAACGTAGCAGGATACAAAATCATCAAGTTAGGGCTTCATCTTTGACTCATAGATTACTATGAATCTCTTCTTTATTTTCTAAATATATGGAAACTTTCCTAGTATCTTTCTATTATGGGTTTCTAATTTTCTTTCATGTGCAGCACACTATGATTTAAATCATTTAAAATTTGTTAATATTTGTGTTGTGTCCTAGGATACTCTCCAAGGTGGTATTAGTTTCATGGGCCCTTGAAATGATTGTGGTATTCTGAGGTTGTTGGACAAGTGGTCAATGTATGTTCATTAGATGCTGATTGGTTAGATCATTAGGTGTATATTGGAGATTTTTTATGTTCTTGATAATTTTCTGTCTAATTTATCAGTCATTGAAAGAGGAGTATTCAAGTTTCCAGCTTGTCATTTTAAATTTGACTGTTTCCCTTCTCAGTCCTTTCAATTTGGCTTCACGTAATTCGTAGTTTTGTTCTTTGCCGCCTACTTGTATTACGTTTTTATAGATGGATTGAAAGTCTTAGCATTGTATAATATCCCTCTCTGTCTCCTATAAATTTCTTTGCTCTGATATCTACTTTACTTCACATTAAAACAGCCACTTTTTCTTTTCTTTGTAATACTTGCACAATATATATTTTGGAAATCTTTTTATTTTCAACATTTCTGCCTTGCTAATGTAAAGTGAGTTTCTTTTAAAAAATAATACATTTAGGTCATGGTTTTTAATCTACTCTATCACTCTGGGTTTTTTCTTCATCTATGCAGACCATTTACATTTAATGTAAAAATGATATATTAGAGTTTTAGTTACTATTTTGTTTATTTTATTTTTCCCTCTGTATTAATGTCTCCGTTTTCTTTCCTTCTTGTATGCTACTTAAACTTAAAAAAAAAAATACCTACTCCATTTTAATTCATCACTGGTACTTTTTGGTACATCTTTTTTAGTAGTTGCTGTCAGTATTATATAGCATAATTTACCGTAGACTCCTGGTATCCTCATTTTAGCCCTTTTGGTGAAGTATAGAAATCTTAGCTTTCTGTTTTTTCAATTACCTTTACCCCCTTCTTCATTTATAATACATACACATGAGATATTTCACATTCATTCATTTGTGATACAACCCAATTTTAAAAGAATGCTGGTCTTCGTAACAGGTTATTTCATTGGTAGCAGAACACCCGAATACTGCATAACTTCTACCAAACAGGTAGTTACTCATGGCAAGCAAGAAGTCTGAGATGAATGTTGTACCTTACCTAGACACAGAAATAATATACTCTAGTAAGACCATCCCATGTCTGATCCTTAAGTTTAATAAGACTCATCATTTTACTATTTAATGAAAAATATATTTTATCAGAATTTATCATTGGAAAAATTTCAATGCTATCGTTGACCTGTTGTAATGCTGTTTCAAAATTCATATCTAAATATAGTGTCTTATCCAAAAACAAACACTTTTATTTCTTATATCAGCTTTTCTATTACATTAAGAATTGCTTTTTAGGCGAGCCATGTTTCACATTATTTTTTTAATCAGTTTTCAAGTTATCACTGTTACTAAATTACTGTAATATATTACTGTTATCACTACTCACTATTTATGCTAGCTAATAAATTTTAACTATATTGTGCTGAGATTCTGTGTATATAATTCAACTAATGGAAAATTTCTTTTTCATTTGAAAACAGAATGACATCGAAGAGTTTGATGGCATTCTTACATCCATATTCAAACATGAGATATCATATTATGAATTCCAGTCTCTTCAAAATGAAACTTGCCCTCAAAAAGAATGTGAGTGTTTTCCAAATGCATCAATTGTTCATTATATTATATACTACTTGTTCATGATTGTAAAAAATGTTATACATACATAATATAAGCTAGTTGATTAAATGATTAGATTTTAGACAACTCAAAGCCTAGTGAAAGGCTATAAAGTGAAAACTTCCGAAGGCCTATTTTTAAAATCACAGGCCCTAAAAATATGTATAAATTTTGAAATGAGCAATCCTACTTCCTGATTTTTATTAAAGAACTATTAGAAAAAATATATTTATGATGGGTAATATTCATTATGTCATTGTTTGTAATTACCTCCAAATGGAAATAGTTTTCTCATCCAAAGATAGGTGATTATATAAATTTGATATCATTAATGCAACCATCAGAAATTAATTTTTTTTTTGGTACTGGGGATTTAACTCAGGTGCACTCAACCACTGAGCTATATCCCCAGCCCTATCTTGTATTTTATTTAGAGTCAGGGTCTCACTAAGTTGCTAATCACCTTGCCATTCCTGAGGCTGGCTTTGAACTCACCATCCTCTTGTCTCAGCCTCCCAAACCACTGGGATTACAGGTGTGCACTGCCACACCTGGCACAGAAATTAATTTTTTATCAATTTATTTGCTGGATGGAAGTTATGTTTTCATATATACTTAACTGAATAAAAGTAGGCCATGTAGCCTTAGAGTGTGATCTTTGCTTAAAAATCTATATAATTAGCATATATGTTTATATATTTAAATTGATTATCTGAACAGACATGCAACTATTGTTCACAGTAGTTATGCATAGGTTAAGCCATTTTAGGGATTCAGATGCATATATTTTTCATTTTACTAAACCTGTATTTTCTACAATTACTATGCATTATTTGTATGATGTCAAAATATAAAAATATCAAGAAAGTATAAATAGGAACTACTCATGAAAAATCATATTTCCAAATGTTATCATGAGCTTATAGTATACTTTAGAACATTTTGTTCTTTCATAGCTTGTTGAAATACTATTTATAATTCATTTATAAGGGCAGCATGTGTGAAACAGTAAGATGTAATAGTAAATAAGACAGGCTTGGAACTAAAGAATGTGAGAAGTCTAGGGTTGGCGTGTTAAGGACTAATAAGCAGGATTTTCTTCTGTAGGGTTGTAGGGTTTCTGTGCTATTTTAAGTGGTTTTATCATCAGCCTGGTAGGACAGAAGTAATAAAATAGGTACAGCTGATTGCCACTCCCTAAATGTGTGAGGTGAATAATGATTAGGGTCCACTATAGGGAAAAGTTAATGACGGGCTAGTTTCAAATAAGTAATCTTGTGAGATTTATGAAGATTTATTTTTGTTTACCATATACATTTAAACAATATGTAATTCACTTAAAGTATTAGATTAGTATAGAAAAGGAACATGGCATAATTCCTCATTTAAAATCCTTATAATTTAGTTGGGGGAGAGATACTATATGTGTATTAATAGAAACAAGCAATGTGATAAATTTTGTGGAAGTGATTATAATGACAATAGAATTTTAAAGTAGAAATGCATTGTTTCTTGGACATGCTTTAGAAAAAACAGTGATATTTTGCCTAAGTCTTAAATGATGGAAAGAGTCCCAATGAGAAAGGAAAAAGGAAAAGGAAATTCTAGGCAGCTGAAAGGGATTGTGTCATCCCATCCCATCTCCTCCTCCTCTTCCTCTTCCCCCCCCCCCTCTCTCTATCTCTCTCTCTCTCTCTCCTAGCCGTGAGGTTAATAGGATTTCCCCCACATGCACTCCTACCATAATGTACTGTCTCAACACAGGTCCAAACCAATGGAGTCAACCAAACATGCAAACATGGACTGACTTGTCCAAATGATGATACAAAATAAATCTTCCATTACATACACACACACACACACACACACACACACACATATATATATATTGCATTAATATAAAAATATATATTTATCAATTATATATATACATATATATATATATATTAAGGATTCTAGATTGGTTAAATCAGAGATCCTGAAAAGGTGGATCTCATAGAGTAGGGCTGGAGAACATTTAAAGCATCTGCCTTTCTAACAAGTTCCCAGGTGAAGTGGTCCCTCCTGATTCTCAGACCTCTCATTGAATATCTAGAGTTTAGATCAGTGTTTACTAAACTTAACTGCAGAGCTTTTGAAAGACCCCACCCTAAGCCATTTCCTGTACTACTTAATAAGATCTGGGGTTAGGTAACAGGTTGTAGTTTTTAAAGTTTCTCAGGTGATTCCAATGAACAGTCAAGTTTACCAGACTCAAACTTCATCGATATATTACAGACCAGAAAAATAATTCATCCTCATATTGATTTTTGAGCCAGAGAAAATATTAATGTGTCTTTTCAAAAGTTAGAACATTGGTAGCCAAGGAGAGTTTTGAACCATTAATAGAGTTGAATGATAATTCTGTATTTGGCAAAAAATATTTATAAAACACAATCACATTTTTAAAGAATGAAAAGTTCAATGTAATAATTCACCCAGAAACCTGATTGCTTTGTATTGCTCTATTGCCAGTACTATTAAACCTATAACAGAATCACACAATGATCATAACTTTAGGCTATAATTTTGATTGAGGTAAAATAACACAATCTACATAATAAAAGTATGTAAGATAGGTATGATTATAACTCTGTTCATGTTTTGCTTACCCACTTGACCCTGTGTTCTTGGATCAGTGTCAGCTTCAGAATATCTGATCTTTAGGACCTTGTACCTATGTCTCATAATGTTAAAGTTGAATCACAGATAAGGATTGAGATATTTTTTTTTAAAGAGAGAGTAAGATAGAGGGAGAGAGAGAGAGAGAATTTTTAATATTTATTTTTTAGTTATCAGCGGACGAGATATTTTTATACATAAAATAATTGTGAGAATTTGGGTAAATGCTAAATCATTGGAATCCACTGGATATATTCAGAGAAGTTTAGCAAAGAATGTGTCAGGTACACAGCCCCAGGTGTCTGCTCAGTGGCAGGGCTTGAGTTATTTGGTGAAATATTTACTTATTAAATATTCACCATTTCTCTATATTTTAGCTAAAATAAATTGGAGGCTGGGATATTGTGAGAGAACTGTAGCCATAAAGAATCAATAAAGTATAGCTTGATTATTGAACTTTTCTAAGGATGAGCAATGAATTGCCTACAGATCTATCTATGGTTCTTTGAAAGTATGAAGCTAAGAGCTTTATCAATCAAAACTGTTTATCTTCCTATTGCCCCATCCTCTCTTCTTTTCACAGTTCTTTTTAAATATTCTGGATTTATTCCCTTGTTATTCCATTTATAATTAAAATATTTCCCATGACATTATGTCTTAGTCATTTTTACTCTTTTCTAGACAGCAAACATCGCCATTTGACATGTGTTTTCCTGTCTTACTCTAGGCAGGTAAACCTGGCGATAGGCAGAGATTAGATGAAATATTTAAGTAATAAAAATGTGTTTTAATGTTCTCTTACTTGGTGATGTTTTATTAGTGACTTAAAGATAACATTTTCCATTGACAGGAATTTTCTATAGGAAAAACGTTCTCTAGGCATAGAGTAATATAAGGTTTCTAAGTAAGTTTGGTATATTAATGTAACCCAGGACTTTTGAGCACAAGAATCACAAAGAATTTATGGACAACTTTCTGATTTATGAATCTTTGGGGATTGTGTGAAATCAATAAAGGGTATTATGTAGGCCTTTTTGGTCACTGATATACATGATATTAGAATAGGAAATGTCAGAGTGTATCACTTAAAATAAGAGGACCACTTTAATTAATTTCTATTTTAGTTGTAGGTTTTAATGTTAGCACACATGGTCTGAACCATCATCAACAAGTTAGAATGCCTTTGATTTGATATGAGACAGAACAGAACACTCAGCCAACACAATTGCTTTAGCCCCTCTGTAGCTCCTCCTATTCTGTTTCAAACCTTCTGCAGGGTCTCATAAATCTTGGTACAACAGGTCCATTAATTTTCTTCATTTCTCTTAGAAGCCTTTCCAAAGCCTGGGTAATGCAGAGAATCTCTCACCGTAGACAGGAGAAAATATATAGTTTAGCTTATTTTTAATATACATTTTTAATATTTGTAATATATATTTAGCTTATTTTTAAGAAGGTTTCTGGTTTAATTACCATATATGGCAGTTAATTTAGGAAAAGAGAAGGTAAATTATTTTGCCCAGATTAACTATCTTCCCCCAGAAAGCAGAACTGGCCCATTTAAACCCATGCCAATTTCTAGAACATCATGTCAAAGCACATATTCATTTATAAAGATTAGTAATATTTTAGCCTGAAAGAAGATAGCCTATGATCAACAGTGACATCTGAAACAATTGACTCAGGATGTTATTTACTAGTTAATAAAAACTGGTATTCAATAAATGTTTAGTGGTTACTGTGGTGATAAAATTTGTCTTGGATTTAAAATCCCTTTGGGTTCACATTTGCTTAGTGGAGGAGACTAAGATGTTTATTGGGTTGTCTTTTTAACATTATCAAATAATTTAAAAGTGCTAAAAATAAAGAGAATAAATTTTAAAATACCCTATACCTAACATTTATATTTGTTGAATCTTAACATTTTACTATATTTGCTTGGGACCTTTCTTTTAAGAAATATTACCCGAACACAGTGGCACACACTTGTAATCCCAGCAAGTCAGGAGGCTGAGACAGGAGAATTGCAAGTTCCAAGTTAGTCTCAGCAATTTAGCAAGATCCTCAGAGACTGAGTGAAACCCTATCTCAAAATAAAAAGAAATGGGGATGTATCTCAGTGGTAGAACACCCCTGTGTTTAATCCCCAGTAACAAAAAAGGAAAAAAAAAAAGAAATATTACAGATTTAGCTGAATTTCTGTCTCTGTGATTTCACTTACTTGAAAAGTAATTGTTACTCTAATTACATTTATTAATGATGATTTTTCTCATAGTTCTTCATCCTTTTACCATATATGATGTTCC